CTATTAACATAAAAAATATATATTTAAAGTAAGGTTATATTAATGGATTGAGCGATTTTGGCACGTAGATACACAACCCTGTAGATGACAACACAAAATGTTGTCTACACTTGTCTACACAGGGTGTTACAAAATCAGCCGTTAAGCATAAAATGGCATAAACTACATAAAAAAAAATTCAAAATATTTAGCAAAAATATCGATAAGATTTTCGATAAATTCTCAACGGTAAATCAGCTGGTTAAAGTCATGAGCATCAATAATCAACTGGTATTATTTTTCAAACTGGTCAGCTTTTTTGGTATGCCCACCATGCCGACGTATCGTGACATAAATTTAAGTAGTTACGGTAAAGTAGGGTTATTAAATTGTCAGTCTGTACAATGACTAACACAGACTATGGCAATAAAAATAAATAAATATTTCCAACACTTACACCAATTAGCTTAGCCCCAAAGTAAGCACTGTAAAGGTTTGTGATATGGGATGCTAGGGTAACTGATAGAATACGTATACAGTACATATATAAGTACATTTATATAGAAATACATATGAAACATCCATGACTGGAGTACAAATGCTCGTATTCATCACACAAACATCTGCCCCCACCGGGACTCGAACCCGGGACCTCTCGAGTCGGCGACTCCATCAAACCCGGTGTACAAACCACTCCACCACGGAGGTCGTCGGCAATGAAAATAAACTTATTTTATTTTCACCTTTGTCCGTTATATCCAATAACTATTTGTGTACTAACATTACCGTAACACACACATGGTTTAGAATAGATGTTTAAGTTGTTATTTCATTGTCATCAACTTTACGAGAATGGTGTCAAGAAGAAATACTTCAAGATAAGGAAAAAAACATATAGCTGTCTTGCGCTTGTCTCACTGCCGATGATGAACGAGAAGCGAGTAAAACTTTTAATATAGAAATGATTGGCGAGCAGCGGGAAGCGAGTGTGTAAGTTCAGATAGTTTTATCGCTAGAGTATAAGCAAGACTGCGAGTACGACGATGTGCGGTGACAATCCTGAGCAAAAATGCACGCGAGTGCGTTTTGAGAGAAGCGAGCATCGCTGAGCCAGTATCGCTGAGCGAGTTTTATTTTTGATAGCAATCGTCGCTCACAGACAAACTTCTGGAGAAAGTTATTGCCGGCATTGGAACAGTTAGCGATCAACTATTAATATAAGCATCTCTTTCGTTTACACGGAATGTATATTTAGCGTACGTTTCTTGAGTGAGAAAATAACCGATAGTTAGTTAGGCAGTGGAATAAGTGCCAAAGTGCCAAATCAATTGCCGATGCTGCTCAGCATAAAGCTTACTTTGCGAAACGCCGTTATCACAGAAATTTACTACTGCGGTAACGGCGTTTTGCTATCGAAACTGCTAAAACGACGACTGACGATTCGCTCCACATCACGAGAAAATAAAACCATCGAGATGTGGGTCTAGATTGACGCGGGCTCAATGTCAACCGCCTTGACAATTTATAAGATGATGATGCGATGATTTAAGATCTTCCTATTAGATATTTCATGGTCTGCTTCTTCGTAGTTAGAATAATCTTTGAAATATCGCTCCATTTATGAGGTGACAGCATACGCAAGAACGACAGTAAGTCAAGTCATTTAAGTAAAATGTAGTAAGATGTTAAAATGTCTACGTCGACTCGAGAAATATTATGGTTTAGTACTAAAAATTATAAAATAATTAGGAAAATCAAGTTTATTATTTGTTACTTTTTAGTTTTATAAAATTGGATTTTGTTTTTTATAAGCCCGAGCAACATCAACAATCCTTATATAAAAAAGCCCCCCCCTCACTTCTCTTCCTCATTAGTGGTTGGTGAGTCATCGACTGCATGTACCAAAAAGGCAATTTTGAAGACGGCGACTCAAAATAAAGGCAAAAATTTTGAGTTCTCATACAAAAAAATTTGATTATTTTCCGCATTTATTGCTGGAACTAAAAATAATGTGTAGCCATTCAAATGTCCTTATTTGTTCAATGGTACGGAACTCGATGGCGAGTCCGCCTTGCACTTGTCGATTTCTTGCTGCTACTCATTAGTAAATTTATATTCTTTTTTTTCTCAGTTTCACCTGTCCAAATGACCTTAAACACACACGACTAAGTACTGCTTATCAGTAGTCAAGCTGTATTTAATTTCGAATTTTCTTTTGGAACCGAAAAAAGTACTCGTGTAGAAAGTTTTTAATTCCGTTTACGCGGCCAGTAAAATATTATAATAACCTTTGAATGACTGTGGTAGTTGTTTATGTTTACAATATTGCTAATTTATTCTCAAGCCCGGCAGAGTTAACAGAAAGCGAAAGCTTTAATTGAGGTAAGTTGTTAATAAAATTTTATCGCTCTTTTATCACGGCTCGGGTGAAGATTGCAATCAAACACGCATAAGTTACTTTTCCCGAATAAGCAATATGGATATCATACATAATCATTAAACCATTATGGGACAACGCAACATCTAAATAAAATGCATAAATTTAATCAAAGAGTCGAAAATGACATAATCAATTTCAAACTAACTGACCTCAGTTGCTGATATTAAATAATTAAACAAAGCCAATGGAGGAAGTATTTATTTTAATTCATCACTCATATATCTAAGGTCAAAGCATAGACCCCCCCTATATTAGCTTTTACGTGGTCTTTTACTTAATCACATTTGGAATCCGATTCCAAATATACGAAAGAAAGGCAAATCGAGATCAAGCGGTTTAACAAAAAATGTTTTATAATATTTTTTTACTAGACAAAAATTACAGTAAATTTATCAACACAATAGACACCACTATAAGTGGCCTTATTGCCTAGAAGCAATCTCAACTAAGAGTACATTTTAGCCGGTTCGTCTATGTATGTATCATCGAACAAATTGATTCCTGACCCACTTGCCTGCCTGCCAACGCCATTCCGACTGCTAAGTTGCAGTTGAATGTTGTTGGCACGACTGCAATGAAACTGCCAAACCAACCACCCGTGCAGTCCGATTGCAGTTGGGGTGCAGTCATGTCAACTGCATTTGATCTGCAATTTGGCAGTGGGAATATTGTTGAAATACTGCGCGTCAGACTAAAACTCTGAATAGAATAAGGGGATGTGCCGTGATTCCACTGATGTTGTACGAGCGTTTCGTATAAGGCGAGGTTGCTTTCACTCCACGATGCTATGGCTCGATCCTACCGGCTGACTCGCAACCGCGGCCGATATACAACGCCCCAGCGCTGTAAAAAAGAGTTCGTATTGGCGCGCTGTGTACATGTACACAGGCTGTTATTTAAAAGAACCGACCAAGACATCGCACATTTCAAATTCCAAAGCGATTCCAAATGTATCATTATTGAAAAAAAAAACAAATTTACCAATATGTTGAGATTTTTTACCCTGATCAAGTTAACATAAAAATAAAATTAACACCTAATTTCAAGTATATATGAAATTAAAAAAATGCTACGGAAGAAATATTTGTAATTAAAATGACTTTGGCAGCTTCTCATTCATTTATTGGTTTTCAATATTTTTTTAAACAATAAATACAGTATTTAACTATGTACTCAACGAGTTCTAGGCAACAATATCCCAATAGATGAGGAAGGGATGCGTTACGCGCGTTTCTTTTTCTTGCGTACCAGAAAGATCTGGAACGATCTGCCCTCAGCGGTTTTGGTGCCACAAGTGTCCATGGGCAGCAGTGATTTACCATCAGGTGACAGCTCGTTTCCTTCTATTTTTTCATTTTTTTCACAATGAGAAATCCCTTGATGGACCGTACAGTGCGCTGGCGAGGCGCGGGACACAGCGCCAGTACTAACCACTAAAACTCACCGGTACCCTCCTACGCCCATGTGGGAGCGTCTCAGGATCGGCGCACCTCTGTGAGCGCCATTACACTGGGACGCCCCCAGGCAGCTCGTTTTCCTGCATAAACATGACAAAGGTAGGATGTTGGAGGAGCTTGAAGGCGCTCTCGGTATGCAATCGCGGAAGTTAAGCAACTTCGACAACGGATGGGAGATTGTTTTTTTTATCTCGAGCTCCTTTGTGCTTCAGAAGGCACGCTAAAGCCATTGGACTCGGCCTGCATCTGCAATCACGGAGAGCACCCACCAATCCCATTTGATGCGTCATGGCTCAATTTCCCTATTCCATCCATAGGAAGAGTCTAATGCCTTAGAATAGGCTGATAATGAGAAATTAATGCCATAACACCTTTTGTAACCATATTTCTACAAATATACCTAATATTATTATTATGATAGATAGATAAATTCATTACTGTACTAGCTTGCGCCCGCAACTTCGTCCGCGTTTATGTATTTTCTTGATAACTCCACAGGAATCTTTTTTTTTTCATTTCTGAAAAACGCGTTGCGCCTCCCTGATTCTTCGGGGGTAACAAGAACAGGGTATCTGTGACTCCTCCTCTGCTCATTTCACCCAGCCCCAAGGGCTCGGTGAAATGAGCAAGGCCCTACCCAGTAAAAACCAGAAAATACTTCTGCACCTTACACCAGACACGTATCCCGAGGACCGCGGTCCCTGGCATGTGTGTCAGGAGGGCAGGTGATCGTGGTAAACCTACATGAGACTGTCGACGAGCCCGCCGGTGAAACCCCCTCACAAGAACGTAAAATTTTACCGGGATACAAAGCATCCTCATGTGTCAATTTAGGTGATCACACTAACATTATAAAGGCGAAAGTTTGTGAGTGTGTATGTATGTAACTTCTTCACGTCTAAAGGGCTGGAGCTATTATAATAAAATTTGGTATGGAGTTAGCTGACATCCTTAACAATGAACACACAGGCACAGCTAGTAAAATATAAATGCTAAATTTCATCCAAATTCGTTCAGCCGTTTTAGCTTTATAGAGTAACCCACATCTACATATTTTTTAATATTAGTAAGAGAGTTTTGGTATTAATTTGATTCTCCTTAACTTATATTTTTTTCTTTTTCAGATTACATACTGCTGATAAGGAAGGAAATCACAATATCTAGAGTGAGTAGGTACTAATCTATCTTTGCTTTAGAAATGGTCTAATTCTAACCATTAACAAAGGAGATTGCTCAAATTGGCCTAAATGCACAAAAAATATTGACATATACGGTAATTCTTGGCGTAATTTATAATTTTATTTACAGTCAATAGATTTCAATATAAATTTCACACGCAAAATAGGCACCTGGTGTCGAGTTGCGGAAAACACCCACCGTGAAGAAGAAGAAGAAGAATAGATTTCAACGGACACCTTTGTATAATATATTTACTTTAAAAAGGACTTTTAATTTTACCGGTTTGGAAAACATACGAATCATTTTTAATGGCTATGGGTGGGTGTTTTTTCAGCCAAAGACTAATCGAAATTGTTTATATAACATAAAAACAAATCTATTTTGTAAAGATCGATAAAATAAATCATTTTTTTTATTACACTGTGGTATTAATATCGACATCATAAAGTCTATTGCCATACATTTTTCGCCAAATACCTCCATAAACACATTAAAATCTGTATATATGTTAAACTTTAAGGTATCTATCTATGGGCCTACGTTCCCTGACTATAAATTAATAAATAAATAAAATTATAAGGTGTGATACACTAATAATCTAAAATATGGTTATCCTAAAAACATAACAAAAATAATGAAGCTACTGAATATATGGCTATAAAACCTAAATCTCTTAGCTTTCTTTGGTTAACGAGAGTTTAAAAATTCTCTCTAATCTGTGGCTCATTCACAATCATCACACAGTTTCTGTCACAGAGTACTTTATTATAACCGGAAATGACACCTGATTTTAAAAGTTACTCTTATGCATTAACTTTAAAAACAGGCAACTATCTGTTAATCTACATGCTCTATATACCTGAATCTTATACATAATTTCGGTACTTGGCTAGATTTCCCTAGTTTACTATATAACTTATTTGTTGTTTATTATTTTAATATGTTCAGTGTATATGGTTTATAGAAGTTCTCAGGGGTGTCCGTCAATAATATTCGTTTCTACAGTAATTTTTATATAATTTCGTATCTAGGAAACAATTTTTCATGATTATTGGTTTTTAGGCCAAACATGTATGGAAGCTGAGCAATCTCCTTTCAAAGCTTACAATTACCAAAATATTATTTCGTTCCGCTTGTACAATAATATTTAGTGAAGAATTATGATTTTATTGACCGTTGTGTCTGTTTAACACGTTTAACATAATAAATTACTTTAAGTTTCTTTTTAAATTAACGTTTTGCACAAGTCATTCATTGGTTACGCAACGAACTGCAAAGTGATTATAAATAATCACACCGTCTGTCCGTCGCGATGACGATGCTCGTAAACATATTACTCGTTACTGTACAGACCTACATATTATATGTATATAGTATTGTTAATAACTCTGTGATTGTTGGCAAGAGTTATTATATTGTCACGTGTCAACATTCAAGAATACAATTATCATATTTTTAATATATTTTTATACTTACTTAATTTAAATATTTTTGAGCGAGAAAAAGTTAAAATAGTTTAATTGTTTCATAAAGACACAAATTACTCGGTGAACTTGGTAGGTATAGTCGAAATAATTTAGAAATCAAAAGCATGTGTGCGATATAATTAATATCGATGTAGTTTTCGTTTTCTACTCACGAGCGTGTCACGCAAGTTGATATCAGTACCGACATGTTTTTAAATTTGACGCTATCCTTCAATTAAGGACATTATGAAATAAAACAGGAAATAAAAAAAACTGACTTCATAAAAACAAAACCACTAAAAAGTTAAAAAATAATACATATTCTTAACTTTTATCTTAAGTACATTCCCAAGTCAAATTAACATTTAGTGTCGGTGATTTGGTGCCATGCCAAGCCAAGCAGCAAATAGTAACTCAGATCTATCAACATGCATGCAATAGTCGGTTCTTTTAGAGGACCAAGCATGAATTTTGACAGCTCCGTAATCGTATCGTCATTGTCAAATTTTGTATGGAGGGAGCCATATTCATAGAAACATGAAACACATAGTTTTCATAGAAACTTTTGATGATGCGATACGTTTACGGAGCTGTCGCAGTTCATACTTGGGCCCCAGTCAGCGTTGCCATTTTTTTTGCCAAGTCGGGATTTAGGAACTTTTTGAGTGAAAAAGCGGGATTCTTTCGCCGAAAGCGAGACATAGTAAAAAAAACGTATATAATCAATAGTTTTTGAATATATTTTTTTTATTTAAGTTCAAATTACGTTTACGTGAAAGATACCTAGTAAAATATCCATAGAAAATGTATTTTAATAAAAATATCATATTTTAAATTATTTATAATTCGTCTTCTAAATAAAAAAAATGAAAAACATAAATCAAAATTAAAAAAGTTTTATTCATTGGAAAAATGTGGCGTTTCAAACAATAATCTGAGAAGTGAGTTTAATAATTTGCAACTAACAATAAGAGAATAATTATTTATAAGAATTACTTATTCATGATTACGCTGCATGCACGGTCGAGTTATTCCCGAAAAGCGGAATGAGGCATGTCCCGCGCGGGACATTTAATTTCGATTTAAAAATTGTGACGTGCCGCCAACATCGGGACGTCTGGCAACGCTCCCAGTACAAGTTAACCCGCGCGGAGCGCAGTAGATATGCAAGTAGATGTTGTAGTTTTGTAACATTCAAAACTATTGTAAAAATTAGACCAAAAAAATATTTTGATATTATGAACTAAAACTCATTATTTTCCAAACTTCTTCGTAAAAAAATATTGAAACTTCGAACGCAATTAACGAATGAATATTCACAATTCAAATATTTGTTTAGCTAACCAAATACCACTATACTGACATTGACTTCCATTTTCTCTCTTATGCAGTATTAAAAACAAGCTTTTTTAATTAAAGCCTCCAGCGTACAGCTTAATTAATGTCTATTTGTTTTCTGAATTAATCTCCTTATTACTTTGTTTGTGGTTCGAGTAGGCAGGCACACATGAACATTTTCTCACCATAATTATATATTATATCATAGCCTAACTACGTCCGTACGAACGAACTCTGTGGCACCGTTCGAAAACGTGTGAAATATAAACACGTGAAAGTCTGGTTGATCTAGGGTTGCCAACCCTACTATGTAATATAGTATCCTACTATATTAGGGGATCAAATACTATTTTTCTAAAAAACGACGGGTTACGCTCCGGGAGTCCCGGCAGAAGTGAAAACTTGAATATTAACGTTGTGCATTTTTGATATTTTGGAATGGTTAGGGAATAAGTTTGCACGAATTGCTTTAATTATCAGTATAAAAGTACTATCTATCGTACACAAACATAACAATTTATATTACATTAAAAAGCTTATCTCTCAGAAAAATCAACTTAAATGAATCAATCACATTTAAGTGCACCTAGCGACATCTATTGTAAAAAAATGCATTTTCTTCGCAATAAAGCTGCCACCTGGACGTCCTAGTTAGAGACTTATTATTATCATACGATAAATAAAAATATTACTTTGTTTCGTCAAATATATTGAAAGTCAACCTTTCCAATTTTATTGAATTCGTCTTACGAATTTTCGATCAGGCCACGTGTCCTGACGCGAATTAAAATTTTTTACCCTTTACAAAAAAGGGTACAACGACGATAAAGAAGTTTTCACTTCAAAAAAATATATAGTAGGCGAAACTATTATATTTTGCTTAAAGCAGACTTTTGCCAATTTCTTAAAAATAAGAACTGAATTATTAGAGCAGCAAAAATATACTCATTTCAAATATAAAGTAAATATTTTAACCACATACTATATTTTTTCCATTTTCTTGCCATCTACTATATTTTAGAGGTAACAGCTTCGAAAATACTATATTTGATAGAAAAAAAGTTGTTAACCCTAGGTTGATCTAATGTTGGCGGCACATAACGCAAAATTGTCTATGCATCGAGGCAGATACCCGCGCTTTCGTTCTCAGCACGACAAGTATTTAGCCGGGCCTTTTGACGTAGCTATACCTACCCAAACGTCAAATATTGTATCATTTTTTTCGTATGCCGACTTTCGTGAATCTGGTTTTATTTGTTCTGTCAAAGACAGTTTGCGTTCTCAAGATAGTTGAATTGAACTGTTTTTTTTACATTGCATTCTGTTAAAATCAAAAAATGATTTAAAAAAACACTAGGTATAACGAACCAAAAGATCATATACCAAAATATATTTTTCTTCATAATCATATTATGTACTTACTCAGATCTGAGCGGTTATCGATAAAAAACAATAATCTATATTCATAGAAGGTCTTCATTCACATAATAGTGTTAAAGCTTTTGTATAAAAAAAGTATAATATATTTACATTATTTTTCCATAAAAGAAGCATGATTACTGTATCTGTATACCTATTGATATTGTTATGAATCAAGTATTTCGATATTGCTATGTGACTGTTCACGTTTGCACCTTGACATAGTTGCAGCAAAGGTTAGAAGACGAGAAAAAATCCATGGTTGAAAAACATTTGCAGGTACACAACTGTTCAATTAATTTTAAATTTAAAGTTAGGAATATGGTTGAAGATTTTCTGCTCGTTAAACATTTCAAGTGTTGTTCAAAAGCCACCTAATTGTTAAAGTAAGACAAATTATCTTTCGTACCGTACGATACCTTGAATAGTCAACAAAACATTCGATTTAAAAAAAAAATCTAGCTATTCCAAATTAATTATACGGTTTTTTGCTATCATGGTATCACCTGTTATTTATTCTGTATTTGGTATTGTTCAAACTAATAACTTATCATGTAATAAACCAAAATAAATTAAATATAAGTAGTGGCAAACTCCTTGAGCAAAACCACACTAAATAAAACTGCGCAGTAGACGGTTTTGTATGTAAAATTGCTACTGCGCAGGCTTTCTTGTGTATGGTCGTTGCTCAAAAAGTTTGCCGGGGTGTATACCTACTTTTCGTACAGATAAATGTACTAAATCATTTAAGGTACTGACCAAA